AGGGCTCTAGTTAGATTAGACTATAATATGAACATAATGATTCGGTCCATTGTTAAAGTTTTTTTTCCAATATAATTTAAAAAGTAATATTACTAAAATATTTGCTATAAATCACATAACAGTATTTATTAAAAGAAATGAAATATTAATGTATATTCTCAGTAGTTTTAATTGCTAAACCAGGTAGTTTTTCAAGTAATAATTGTCTCTTATGTGAACTGAGCAAAAATATAATTTCCAGCTTTATTTTTTCAATTGGTAATTTTTATTTTCACTAAATGTTAAGTATAAATGTAATCATTTATATAATAATAGATTAGTACACAATTGTATGTCAACACATTATTTATTACCCTAAACTGTCTGGAATTTATTATTAAAGGTTTGCGCTTGGGTAAAATTTACTATCGTGGAAATTCAGCTTTTTTGCCTTTTGGATAATCTCATCCCTGTTATTCATTTATATTATTAATTCATGATTCGATACCCGCCGGCTGAAGACTCCCCCCGTGTAGTAAATGGTGACTGATGTACGTTAAATCTGTTGAGTCGCAAAATCCTCCATGTTTCCATAACAAATCAATACATCTGGGGGTACTGATCCAGGAGTTTCCTTGTCTTCTGGATTGGTTCAAAATTACAAGGCTACTGAGTTGAACATAGGTTGCCGTAAACCCTAAATTGGGTCGGCTGTTCAACGTCGGATATAAAAGAAAAGAAATATATAAAAAATAAAATTATGCTGCATAAAATTTATTTAGAATTTCATGTTTTGAAAATATCAATGATTTAAATTTATAAAGACGTAAATTTTTTGAAATGGGTCAATAATGATTTTACTCAACAAATTATCAGGATTTTTGAGTTGTGAGTCCTCTGTTATCAGTGCTAACTATTATTAACTTGGCATATGACTACTACTCACCAACATGACGACGACACAGCATTGCTGAATCGAATATCTGAAGAAATAAGAGAGTTCATCTAAATTTGACATTTTATTTTATCTTGTTTCTGAGCTAAAACAATTGCGAAGAGATGACAAAAAGATATATTTTATAGTGTTATACACCACAACACCGAAAACAACTCCCACTTCTCATCAAAACATACGACGTAATTTTTGTGATCAAAAGTTCCTCAGTCTTGCAGTGCCTTAAAAAAACCAAGGGTCAGTGGTCAATAACCAATCGGGAACAAAAAGGAAGAAAATGTTACCAAAATAGCTAATGGAAAAGAAAAAAAAAGGTCCGCAGTTCTCCCCGAACCTCCTAAGAAATTAGCAAAAGATAGAAAAGTAACAACACGTGACCACTACACTCCCGTGTGAAAGGGGAAGTTAATGATTTTCGTCCAAGAGGCATTAAAAAGTTCACATTCTGTGAGAGAATTAGAAAAATTTCATATCTAAGATATAAAAATATGTATATAAGTGATAAGAGCTTATGCAGCTGCAGAAAGCTGTTAAAAAGAGGGGAGAAAACACTTAACTCCCTTCACAAACCAAACTGACCGGAGGAAGGTGGGTCTCAGAGAGTTTTTAGTTTACAAAAGTAAAACATAAAATAGGGGAGAGATATCTTTTGAAAAATAAGGCACTGACTGACTAAAAGGGAAGGGCAACGTAAAATTGCGGCTAATAAGCAATTAATTATAAAATAAATTCATATCGCACAATTAAAATATAGATTAACATGCTTGTAATTAAAGCAATAATAATCTGTAAATGTTAATAATTATTAATAAAATATGCAGCAGTTGAACAAATACATAGTAAATTACACAGAACAAATTTAAGTTTCGAAAATTGAAAGTTAATGAAGTTAAGACAGAAACCCAAATACAAGAAATTAGAAGGCAAAAGTAAAACAAATTAAGGAGACAAAAAATTTAAGGTGAGTATGAACTTGGGATAAATAACATTATGACAACTAGTATAAAAAGACATGCTTAGCTTGATTCAATCTTGGGGTACCTTTTGATAGATGAAAGTTGTCCTTGTCAATAACTTCTTACCCCACAATGGTGACCTGTGATCACGCCTACTTCGAGGGATCGACTTGCTATATGTAACTGCGTCATTGTCTTGCGCTGTTGCTTCTTAGTTTTATTTACACACAACGGGAACCTACACACAGGGCCGGCTTATGCATGTCGCGCCCCCCCGTCTTCTAACTTCCTAATATATTTTTTTCGCTAACACAACACTTTATTCATAATTACGCTGTTTTTTACTACATAGGTATATTATCACATTATTCAATAAAAATATTGAATCAAACGAAAAGAATATAAGTAATTAATATATGCATTTAAAAAAAAATCATACAATAAGCTTAAATATTAACTCTTCTAACTTTTTTTGTTACAAAATCGTTCAAGTCATCCTGAAAGTTAACCTTTTCCAATACATCATTTTCAATTGCCATTATGGCCAATGAATTTAAACGGTTTTGAGACATAGTTGAACGAAGACAGTTTTTAATTAATTTCAATTTGGAAAAGTTTCGTTCACCAGTGGCGTTTGTAATCATTAGACTTCTATATATTTGCAAAGCTGTCATGTTACCAATAATCAGTTTGTAAGACTCTTCGGCAGACACAATTTATTCTCCGGCCCCAAGTAGCACCGAGTATTAGCTAACATCAGAAAATCGGTAAAATCTAACGTTATCTTGCACAACTTCTAATAGTAGAAAGATATAAAAGGTCGCTGTTTGCTCAGCATTATATAATATTAGATTCCATGCAAACTAATATTATCTAGCGTTCGCCATAATATTCTTTTGCGTTAGTTTTGATGCTATATAATATTAGATTTTGTATTTTCTGATATTATTCTGCTTTTTATTTTTTTGGAGTAAGCAAGAGGAAGATATGGATGGTAGTAGAATAATTCGACGATACAATTTTACTTAATTTTCTGTATTGTTGTGAAGCAGTAAAACATAGAACAGTAGTTTTATGTCATTCCATGCATTATTTACTTAGCAATACAGAAATACTAAATAAAATTATATTAGCGAAT